CACCACTTATGTTGCGGACAAAAGCAAAAAAACCCGAACCAAGAAGCAAGGAAAAAAAAAACAAAAATGAGGTGAGAGAGAGGAGACACTGATCCACCTAAAACACCGAAAAGACGGAGGATCAGTTCTCAAAACCCATGAAATGTATCGGACATAAGCATAAAAAACCGAACCAAGAAGCAAGAAAAAAAAAGAACCAAAATGAGGTGAGAGAGAGGATGCACTGACCCACCTAAAACACCGAAAAGACGAAGGATCAATTCTCAAAACTCATGACGAAAAGACTTGAAAAAGTAGGGCCCAAGCTCCTTGAATCAATCCAAAAGGATGTCATTTTCTCGCTTTATTAGAATTGGATCAACCCTAGGAGGGTGTGTTTTCCAAATCCTGTTTCGAACTAGTCGAAACGGGCACGAACCGAATACTCTCCCAAAATATCTTCCATAGGCTCAATTTGACTCGACCGAATACTCTCCCAAATAAGACTTGGGAATCTTCCAAATTTCATAAATTAAACAAAAGGAAAATGACCTGGGGGAAACCACCTAGCATTTCCAAACCCATATCAAAATTAAGGTTTCCCAACTCCCAAATTAACCAACAACCTCATATATCAAATAAACATAGAAACTTCCAATAAAACCAAATAAATGCTCACGGCTAGGGTCAGTAGAAGAGAGGAGGTAGCCACCAAGACTTTCGATCAAGGCAGCCCAAAGAACAAAAGAGGCTCACGTCTAAGGCAAGAAACAGAGCCAAAAGAGGCTCACCGCCCAGGCAACCCAAATCAAGTATATGAGGACCTTTGATACACATAAGAGAGTGCAAAACATAACTATCATTTTGAGATGACTAATTTAATCCACCAACAATCATCCAAGTAGTTCAAGTCCAATAAGAAGAACTAAATCCAATGAAGGAGCCTTCAGTATGTCTTACGAGTAGGGATAGGAAGCAGCTCAGGACAACCACCAAGCCTTTCTAGTAGGGACAAATATAAAACACAAACATAAACTCTCGGGTAGGAACTAAAGCCAGTAAAACCACACCCAAACTACCTCTCGGGTAGGGGCAGAACGAGACAAAACAGAGCTCCCAACCAAAGTAAAACTGAGCCGCAGCTAAGGCTCAAACCCAGGCCACAATAAAGGCTAGAAACATCTTCAATCCCTCAGAATATCAAAATATAGGGCTACCACATGTTTCAAACAAGAATAGCTATGGAACTCTTCCAAATCAAAATAAATTTCTTCAGATTACGCGGTTTTCAGCCGAAAATGATTATAA